AACAAAAGAAAGAAGTCAAATTTCATATCTTATAAATCATGATTCTTATTGTTTAATTCCTCATAAGTATCTAATAATTTTGCAGGACATTCTCCATCACTTTCATGGGCGAGAAGGATAAAGGTGGCTTTGGATGCGGCTCGTGGTCTTTGTTTCTTGCACGAGTCAGAGTCTCCCGTCATATATCGTGATTTTAAGACATCGAATATATTGTTAGATTCGGTAAGCCTAGTGAATAATCACGATACATGAGATAAATTCGCTTTTCTAGAGTTTATGTTGCAAAGTGCAAAACAATCACACTTGTTTTCACAAGACTCTACTTCCTAGCTAAGAGGTGTTGACAAAACTAACGGTTAGACAATCACACTTTTTCAACTGATATACATACTTTCAAACTGAAATATCATACTCTAAACACAACACAGACTAAAGTACGACATTTCACAATGTAAGTATATTTTTGTTACGAGAGTATGACACGTCGACCCGCCTAACCGTTAGGTTGGCTCACACAAACACACAAGAATTTGTTCTAAGAGGTGACTTTTTTATATGGTTCAGGAATTTAATGCAAAGCTTTCAGATTTTGGACTGGCAAAAGCTGGTCCAACTGAATCTCAAACTCATGTATCTACAAGAGTTATGGGCACTCAAGGCTATTGTGATCCATGGTATCTATCCACAGGTATATACATATATTTTTGTTTTTATCTTTTGCACAATATTAGTTAGGTTTTGTACCGAACTGCAACGTAATTATGCATATTTCTGAAAGAAGAAGTACATAACAAAAATAGGAACTTTTCGTAGGGTATATATATCGATTATGTTTGATTTTTTAGGTAAGTTGACATTGAAATGCGACGTGTATAGTTTCGGTGTTGTGTTGCTCGAGCTTCTTACCGGGCGTCGTGCCATAGACGAAACAAAGTGCCACGAAGAGAAGAACCTTGTGAGTTGGGTAAAGCTTCATTTACACGACAATGGCAAGATTTTCAGGATTATGGACACTAAGTTAGAGGGTCAATATTGTAAGAGAAGTGCTTATGTTGCTGCAAATATCGCACTGCGTTGTGTTAGTCACGAGCCCAAATATCGGCCTCCGATGACTTATATTTTGGAAATTCTGGAAAATCTTCCTTCCCATAAAAACCATCATCATCAAAATTGAATGAAAAGAAAAAAAAAAAAGAGCTTACCATAATCCAGGCTATTCATATTTCATACCAGTTGCTTCACCTTTCTCGCGTAATTTTCTAACTCATTACTTGCTAATTTCGCGAAAAAAAAAATAGCTCGCTCGTTTGTTTTCACTGTTTGGCTTCTCAACATTGTCAATTGATTTTGCATTTGGGTAGAGATGTTTCGAGTTCTAGGATTTCGTTTCATCTATATCTATATCTATATCTATACTATTATAAAAGGACGAGTGATTTTGTAAAAATAATAGTCTACCTAAAAAACCCTTACTTTGACATAATTTAAATGGCAAATTTGTAAATTTTTACTATAAATTTTAAATTGCATTAGTTATTAATATTAATAGTTAATATCGGCCCCAAATCAATAGGCAAACCACAAACTCACAAAGTGGACACCAATCCTCCGCTCAAATCGGAAAACCTAATTCCCGTCATACACCATCCTCACAGCAACTCTCCTCTCAGCAACTCGGAAAACCACCATCCTCCGCTCAAATCTTTAACCTCGAATTCCCGTCATACACCATCCTCACAGCAACTGGAAAAAATAGCCGAGCGAGATCTCCAACGAGTTCAACTATCTGTGCACCGAAAATTTCACGATTGTCCCCAAAAAAAATCTCGACCGTCTTGGCGGGCAAAAAGGCGAGCGATCGGACAGTCCTTCCATAAGCAAGATCTCCAACAAAATTACTCATTCGCGACCTCTTCAATTTCGTAAGTTTTATGCTATTTGTCTTGAAATTAAAATTAATTGATACTTCGTAGCAGGGAGAACTTGGTACAAATCCCTATCCCTATTCTTTGGTTTGTTCATGGGTTTGGTGTATTTGAACTATATATTGGGTATTGGCTGGTAGGATGTTGCTGATTTTTTTTCAATAAAACATATATGTGAAAGCTAAAAGACATTTATAGTTGTTGAAATTGGGTATATTGCTTAATCAATCTGCCAGTAGATTATACTTGAATGGGCTTTGGTATTTGAGGTTATAGTTGTTAATGAATTTATTTATGATTTTTTGGTGGCCTCACGAGCAAAAACACCAGTGATTCGGTTTATTATACCACTTTCATCCCCAACAAACACCGAGATGGTATGAAGTTTTGCCCTGAAATAATTTTTTAGAAATTGCATTTGGATTATAGATGATTTGGTTTGGTGAAGAGGACTCGAGAGGATAATTTCAAATGACATCATAAACCATCAACTCGAGCTTCACCACAATTATGAAAAGCAGTTGGAAATAGGAGCTTAACAATTTGTATGATCCAGATGCCTTCAGCTTTGTTTTTAGTTTCCATCTTAAATAAAGTAATGCTGATAATATAAATGATCAAGAGTTCAACTTTCACTCTAGACTATTACAAAATGCAATATGAATACATCTACAGCTGATGAGCTGCCAGATTCTTCATGCTCTTATTTGTTTTGCATTATAGTTGACACATGCTATGAATGTGATTAATAATACAAAGATTAATATATGAATTGATTTATGAAGATAAATTGAAATATTATGAGTTACTCATTATTTGTTTTAACTCAGTATCATTTGTTTGTGTTTATATTATTTGCTTTCTGAACATAGCTCTCAAACATCATAAAGTTCATGTCAATTAGTGAGTTTTTGAGAAAAGCAGGGTTGTAAAACTTAAAAAGGTTGTCATTTTTCTTCAAATATGCATTCTTATTTTTTTGTAGTTTGATATTGCTAGAATGTACTTAGTAAGTTTAATTTTCGTTAATTAATATAATGGGCCGCCTGTAGTCACGTTCAACAGAATAGAGGTTTAGTGCAGCTCATTCGCTATGAATGTCCATTAACAGTTTCCTGCTTCAATTTTTATTTCATGATTTGGTATATAGTGAAGTTAGGAAGTTGTCTCATTAACACGCTATTATAATGTTTTTAACTTTCACATAGGTTGAAAACAACTTAGTGCATTGCTGGAGATTTATTTCTTTAGTTCCATTCAATTTAATTGAAACATTAATCTAGATATAAAATTACTGGAATGTGGTCTTACTTTACGGAAAATTGATAATGTTTGCCCAGTTTCTGTAATGAAGTTGATTGAAGGCATTTTTTTTTCATGAGTAATCAGAATCAGGAAACTATTAATACAAATAATTATTTTCTTTAAAGTCGTTTGTTATTTGATGATCATCTCACTGTATCGGGTGAAATCCGTTAGGACATCCCTGTTTGCACAAGAATTTTCTTTCTCCCTTGCTCATTTTGGGATTTTTTCTTCATTCCTTGACTATTTAATATGATTTACAATTACAGTTTAATCATGTAGGTATTCAGATGATACTGATGTTATGTTAATATTTGGTCTTGCAAGGCATTGATATTGGTCTGTGTTTTTTTATTGGAATAAATTATATATTGTTAAATTGAATATTTATGTGCCTTTTTTACTTGAGCCTAATAAAGTCTATTATGGATCATGGCAAGTTTTAACTTGACTCGACGAAGCCGAAACAAATTAAAAGATCTTATATTAAGGGGTCAAGTTGTAGAATGAGACGAAAATCATCTGCGTCTGATTTGGCAGCAGGTAATTAATATATATATTTATTTATTAATATGATATTTTTTAATTATTTTATAACATAATAATTAATATAAATTCACATTAGAAGTATGAAACTTATACACTTATTAATATATCTTTTTCTTTTTCACATTTATATCACAGCGAAGAATGTATACCGGCGTCGAAATGCGGCAAAGATGAAAAAAAGATAGAACGATTTAACTGCTTATGATAAGCAAACGTATATTGATAAAACAAATAAACGTCGCAAGGGCCAAAATATGGGTGATGCATGTCTTGATACCGATAAAGTTTCTTGTGGATCGGAAGGTTAGAAATATTTTATCGTGTAATACAAAATATATACAACTTTTTATGACATCCAAATGAGTGCTATACATTTTTTTATTGGTTTATATTATATTTAATGTGATTTGCTATAGATATACTATTATTAATATTTTCTTATTATTATATAAAGAAAAAACAAATTAGACCTTTCATTCATTTATGTGATTCAATAAATAATTGATATTTGTCATTTTTTTAAGGTTCAATTATGAAAGGGCATGTATGTTTGGCGATACATGAGCTGAAAAAAATGCCCAATTGCATGCATTGCGGTGCTCTGAAATTTCAGTACGAGTGTCCAACATTTTGCTGTGATAATGGAAAAGTCAAACTTGCTCCTATTGAAGTCCCTGATGAATTATATGAACTGTTCACTTCACAGACGGAAGAGGCAAAACAGTTTCGAGTAAATATTCGTCTATTTAACAGCATGTTCTCTTTTACATCGTTAGGAGTCAAATTAGATAAAGAACTTGCTTCTGCAAGACAAGGAGTCTATACTTTTCGTGCTCAAGGAGTAGTGTATCATAATCTTCCTAGCTTATTACCTAAAGAAGATGGACCTGGATATTTTCAGTTGTATTTTGTAGAAACCGAACGAGAGACCGAAAATAGAATGGCCATATTTCCAAACTCCTCTTTATCTGAATGTACGGTTAACAAGCTTATTAGTGTTTTGGATGTTAACCCATATGCAAAAGTTTTTAGAAGATTGAAGGACTATCCATCAATGGGTGAAGTTCGACTCCATATCTCAAAGGATGCCAAATTAGACCAACGCGTTTATAATTGTCCAACAACCGATCAAGTCGCAGCAATATGGGTTGAAGGAAATAATGTTAATATTCCCTTTGAACGTGACATTGTTATCCATGCACATTCAGGTGATAGACATAGAATAAAACATTATTTTGGATGTTATGATCCACTGCAGTATCCTCTTCTTTTTCCAAAAGGTGATGTTGGTTGGCATCAAAAGATTTGGAAGTTAGCTGCTAATGAAAGATGTATGCAAAAACAAGGTACAATATCATTTTTTTTTTTTTTATGTTAACTACTTTGTATTTTATATATTGATATCACATTTATTTTATTCTTCTTTTTCAATAACATATTCAGGTCGCAGTAAAAATGTTGCAAGTATCTCATCAATCTCAAGTTTTTCTTGTCCAAATGACATTCTCTCTGTTGAATGCCAAGGTATACAATTTTTATTAATGAAACATTCAAATTGTATACGTAATTGTCACGAGGATATTACATGATTTTTTTTGGGTGCTGTCTAATATTCATTTGATTAATTTAAACATTCTCTCTGTTGAATGCCAAGGTGTACAATTTTTATTAATGAAGCATTCAAATTGTATACGTAATTGTCACGAGGATATTACATGGTTTTTTTTTTGGGGGCTGTCAAATATTCATTTAATTAATTTACATTTGTATTTTTATTTATTTATTTAACTTCCTTATCATTTATATCATAATTACATTTCATTACATAATAATAAATTTGATTTCATAAATTATTATTTTCTTAAATTTGTAATTGTTATTGTAAAGAAATTATTGTTATAAATTATTTTATTAATTATTGATTGTATATTATTCACAGTTGTTGAAAAAGAAAGCCCCAAAAAAGTGTCATGCAGAGAATATAGTTGCTACAGATTGCAAATTAGAAGTCCTAGAGAATCAACACTTCTCCTTGGTGAAAGGCTATTTCAACAGTATGTTGTTGACATGTACATAAAATTGGAGACAACAAGATTGGATTATTATCGCTATAATCAATCAAACATGAGGGCTGAATCATACCAAGGAATTAAAGATAGTGTAAGAAAGGGAGAGACTAGAGGAAGTGAAGTTGGAAAACGTATTGTGTTACCTGCATCATTTATTGGAGGACCAAGAGATATGCGTCGTAGATATCTTGATGCATTAGCATTGGTGCAAAGATTCGGAAAACCAGACTTATTTATTACAATGACTTGCAATCCAGACTGGACAGAGATAAAAGAGTTATTGTATGAAGGGCAACGAGCCCAAGATCGTCCGGATTTGACGGCAAGAGTGTTTCGAGCAAAATTGCAAGA